GTGTGTGTGTGTGTGTGTGTGTGTGTGTGTGTGTGTGTGTGTGTATCTTGGCATGGGCTCTTAAGCCACTAAGCAGGCTGGAACTCCACCTGTGGGGCTTGGGAGTCAGCATGGAACTGTGTAACTTCCTTGTTGATTTTCTTCCCTTCTCTGTTCCCCTGTGGTTAGGAGCAGTAAAAACCCTCAGCAGCCTCACAAGCGCTGCCTGTATACTGGCTCAGGGCAGGAGAGGGGAGGGGAAAGTGTGGTACGGCTGCCAGGGGCCTGCTTGGGTGGCAGAAGGACAGGAGCTGGCAGGCCACCATGAGAGTCCCCAGGAAAGGAGACTCATCAGGCCTCCCGGGTCAGAATGTACAGCTAGTAGGTGGGGGCCGGGGGAATGTTCTCCCAAAGGGAGGCCCAGTGAGGCAGTAAGTTGGTGACCCAGTGGATTTCAAGCCCCTTGGGAATCTTCAGAGCAGGCTGAGTTGGGAGGTGGGGAGGAAGTGGTCATCTCTCATTAAAATGCCAAGATACCTGATCATGATTGTCAGGAGCAGAGCCAAGGTAAGCAGAAGTCGTGTCAGCAGCTAGCCAGGCAAGGGACTAGAATAGCTGTCACAGTGGAGGCAACCCAGGGGAAGAGGGTCCCAAATGGCAGGCAAGGTCTCTCAGAGTAAACCTTTGGGGAATCTGACTGCTCTGGAGACTTCGGACCAGCCTGAAAAGAAGCCCAAGATGACACCTCTAGGACAGGTGAGAAGGTGGGGAACTCAGCAGCTTCAGGACACACCCGGGGCTGGGGTACCGACTACTCTGGAGGGGCATTTTCAGCCAAGCAGGAAATACCCTTAGGGCTAACCTAGTCCAATCATCTCCCTCTCTGGAGATGGGAGAGATTAACTCCAAAAATGAGGTGTTTTTGAAATAAAAAAGAAAGGGAAAGGGAGGCTGCTGAAGGAGGAACGCTGAACCAGAGCAACCCCAGGAGTCACCCCAGAGAGCTGCCCTACATAGGTGGGGGCCATTGGAGGTCATGGTTACACTCAAGGACTAGTCTGTCCAGTTCAGACCACATGATCAGTTTCAACTGTCAAGAAGGAAAGCCTGCCACCTTGCAAGCTGAGCACTGCCCAGGAACCCAGAGAGGCTACCAGTGCAGCATTCAGAGAGTGACAGAGATGCATCCGAGAGGGATAAAGGGAAACAGAACCCACTGATGGGGGAGACAGGTTTCCTAGGAACCCTAGCTGTGCTAAGTAGGAGGCAGAAGGCTAAGAGGTGAACAGCCTGGATACTATTGTTAGAAGAAATCAGAACTCTAGCACGCCTTCTGATGGGGTTAGGGAGGGGCTGTTCCTCCTCAAAGCTGGTACCAGGGATGGGTCATCTGATCAACCATTGCTACTGTTAGGAGAAATGTTGGTCAGTCTCTCAGTGCAGACCCTCAGAGGGCTAGTGGTGAAAAGTTTAATGACCTCTGGGAAACATGGACAGACAAGCACAAAGATGCTTGTAATTCAAAGGACCACGGTATGGCCTGGAGAACTGGGGAACTAGCTAAGCCATCCCCACGTGGCCAGGGGCTACAGAGGTCACAGAATAGGCCTGTGAGATAAAGGAGTGAGCAGCAGCTGGGAATGCTAGGAGGAACTTGGAAGAAGTTCTGAGGGCAGATGCTTGAAAAGGGTCCACAGCCCCATTCACTCCAAACTTTGGTTTGTGGTTTGAACAGGGCCTTTCAGAGCTGTGTCCAGAGGAAGCATGAGTAAGGCCCTTACCGAGTTCAGATGAACTTATTCCGGGTTCCCCAATATTTCTATGATGAAGCTAGGGTGATTCCGACCATCACCCACACCACACACGCACACCCCACACAACACATAGGCTGAGGCTAGCCCTGCTAGTAACAGCACTAGGTAGAATAAAAGCCCATTTTTTTTTTTGACTAGCAAGGCGTGTGTGGGTCCTCAACTAAGCCCAAGGAAAAGATCCAAGGATCAGGAATGGGACCACTAGACCCAAGAGATAACTTCCATTCCTGAAATGAAACCGAAGCAACCAATAAGCACTATGCAGTCCTGTGCCATGATGATCCTATGACCCTGCCAGCCTCTTCTCAGACAAAACCCATCGTGACCATTAGGTCACAGAGCACCCTGCACTTAGGTCCAAAATTGCCAAGGCATTCACTATTAACAGCACTAAAGGCAGCCCTGCCTCCCTTTGGGTGGACTGGTACTCCTTTCCAACTTCATTACAATTCTCCCCAAAGCACCTGAACCCGCTTCTGGGCAACAGTATTTTTATCCACAACTTTCAGCTGTATATGCTCTGTGGCCATCAGTCACCCTGCTCTCCTCACTCGCCCAATGCTTGCTCAATGGCGCATGAAGCAGCCATGATGGCAGGGGATAGAAGCTAGGAACTTGGCTCAACAGCATAAACTCCCCGTCACCAAAACTGAAAACCTGACTGGCTGCTGCCTCTGCCCAGTGCCCAACTTGACAGCAGCAATAATCAACACTGAGTGCCTCCATGGCTCCTTCCTTCAAGGGGACTGGCTGGGGGTGGATGGATAACTTATATTCGTTCCGGGAGGCACCCAACACTGCCCTCACCCTTGGAACTGTTGAGAAAGGGTCTCCAGCCCCATTCACAACTTCAGTGATCTGCTCATATGACGAGCAGGCAGAGCTGAAGAGGAATGTACATGGGCCACAACATGTCCCCTCCCCTTCATACCATAACACAGGTGCTCAGAAGATACACTGGCTCACATGCACCCCACACACATGCATGTGTCTACACTCACCAACACACAAGCATGTACACATGCTGCCAGCCTTCCCACAATCCCTCAGTTACACACATAGACACGTAAGTGACCAGACATCTCTGCAGGGGCTGTGACCTTTCATGTGCATTCATCTCCTTAAGTTTGTACACTGAACCAGGCCCCCAGAGCTCAGTCATACCCACTCTCCACCCCCAGTTGCTCTGTTGGCTGTTATTTCCTAACACTCCATCAGGCACATCTCCATCCTAGAGTGACACACACCAGAGGTGGCTATGGACTTGGGCCATGAAGACTAGAGTCATTTCATGATGTAGTCATCTTCATGGCACATCCCCTAGACCAAGACACCCCCTCCTCCTCCTACATTCCACCCATTAAAATATTGGACCTCTCTCCTGTCCAAGTCACTTCCCCACTGGAGGGTGGCCCTTGACTGACGCCCAGCAAATAAGGAACAGTTTGTGGATAAAGCCCCCTTGTGGGCAGACTGGGGAGAAGGGAGGTTACGCTTTGAGCCTTTCCCCACTTGGGTCTGTTTTTCTATTAAGTATACATTGCAGTGGAGAGAGAAAGAAAAAAAAAAAACCCACTAGTATGAGATAGGAATTAGGAAACCTTTTTTCTAGCCCCAGCACGCAGCCTATCACAAGCTATCTGAACTTGGACAAATTGCTCCCTCCCTGAGCCTCAGTTTCCCCATCTGTAAAATGGCCTCCGAGTTTCAGCCCTGCTCTAAAAGTATCAGGAATTATTCCTAGGCAAATCAATCTTCTTTGGAACAAGAATCATTACAAGAAGAAAACTCATTATAATGGCAATTAATCCATATTCATCTGTTTGCTACATACTATCTTTAAAACTCTTCTTCATGCTGTTTGAATGCATGCCCAATATCTCAAAGGTTTAGGCTATATATTCCCAGACTGCACTAGGGGCTTCTGGTGTGGGACTGTCTCTCCCCCATCAAACTTTGTGAGCAGGGGCAAAGCCCACAAGATTTCCCTGGAAAAGCAAGAGTCAAAGTGGGGTCAGGACAGACACCAGAAAATATCTTGGAGTCTCTGTCCTAGAAACTGTAAGCCACCTGCTGAGCCTCAAACCCAATTAATTACCACTCTTTTGACCCTGCCAATCCCTCTGTTCTCTAAGACTTCTCTCCTCTCTATTTCTCCCACTTGCTCCCCAATGATCTAGTTCCCCAGGTCCCACCACTCCTGAATCTCTCCAGCCCATCCCTCCCTGCCGGAACCCCATTCTTGCCTCAATCTTCCCTGCTTCTGCACTCACCAGCCCCCGGGCCAAGGACAGAGAACAGCAACAGCAGCAATAGGGCTGGCGGCAGCTGAAACCCAGACTTGAGTCTAGGCTGGGAGAGCGGCAGAGTATGAGAGATGGGGGGGACTAGCGGGAGAGACTTGGGTAAACACAGAGATGAGGGCAAAGGCTGAGATAATGGGTTGGGCTGGGCTGGACACTGGGGCTTGAACAAGGGCAGGGAGTGGGATGGAAGGAGGGGCTGTGATGGGGACTGCAGCAAGGGACGGGGTTGAGCCAGGGCCTTAAGCAAACACTGGGAATGGGGTTGGGACAGGCCCTGGGCTGATATTTGTGACAGGGGGTGGAACGAGGGCCGAGGCCGGGATGGGGGCCAGGCCAGGGGCAGGGACTGGAAGGGGGTCCTGGATGGAGTCCCAGGCAGGGGTTGGGGCCGATTTGGGAAGCGGGGCGAGGGCGGGACTGGGGGCCAAGGCGGGGATCGGGATAGGACGAGGGGCCGGGACAAGGGCTGGGCCATGGCCCGGGGCGGGGGCGGGGCCGGACAGGCCAGCGCGGGGCGCTCGCAGAGCTGACCCGCGGCTCCGCTCCCCACCCCCGGGGGGTGACCTCCGGTGTCCTCACGGGCACGGAGTGGGGGCCGGGGATCTGGGTGGGAGTTCAGGCCTGGGCGACTCCGGGCTGCGCTGAACCGGCGATAACCAGGCCCCGCGGCGGCGGCCTCGGCTTGACGTCGGCATGACGCCCCGCCCCCCGGCCGGCTCAATTGGTCCCTGTCAGTAAAGCCCGCCCCCGC